AGTGATCATTAGATTACTTAGTCCGACTTGTTAACCATTCTGCCATGCCGCCATTTGTCACATGCTTACGCAGATCATGGGTCAATGCCATGTTATTTTTGTTCATTGAACATTTCTATTTTCAGAATAGTTTTAAGTTTTTTAAGTTTTAGTTTTAAGGAAATTTGGCCAAATAGTTACAGAGATGATGTTACAACTTTGAAACAGACAGACAACTAAATCAAGTGAACCTTAAAGGGACTCCACTGAGGTTTTTTGACATGACAGGGCTAGAAATGCTTTTTTTTTTGAGATTTGTATACCTTTTGTTTATAATGTATATTTACAGTAGACTAGTGGCTTGTGTGCAAATTTACAGACCATTTCCCTACATTGTTTTTCAACAATCAGTATTTCTAATGCGCAAAATGACTCAACAATAAAGTGTTTCGATGCTTTTTACTCTTTTGATCTATAAAAGAACTTCAAATTCTATGTTTTTAGGCATTTTATGACATCAGTGGAGTCCCTTTAAAGTTCATCATGAGAGCATGATTTGCTCATGCGAGTTAAAAACATTTCAAAGGTTTCCAATATGACCTCAGCACAGTATAATCAACACTGATACACTAACTAAGTTTTACTCTAACTTATATTCAATTGCTCATAACTTTTCTAAACTTTTGTCAAATAGCTCTGAAACTTATGCAGAAAGATAATATATAGTTACATATAAACTGTGAAGACTGATATTAAAACACTGGCGAAGACGTGATATTAAAACACTGGCAATGGTCAGAAAGTGCTAATCAATGAAAGCAAACTATCAAAAGTGTCTGGGGAATAGTTTAATATCTATAAAACCTAGTCATAAACACCACTGTCATACCAATTGTGGCAAAATCAATCAATAACAACAACTCTTCTGGAAACAATTTCCTATAGAAAGAACATATTCCAAGACATACCTAAAACAAACAAATGTGAAAGATTGTATTTCTCCCTGAATCAGATCTGCTGTGATAATAATTGACAGTATATTACACCAGCATAGAGGCACTAGGCCAACTAAAATGACCTGACTCAAAACACCAGAGAAGAGGCTCCAGGCTAACCTGACCTGACTCAAAACACCAGAGAAGAGGCTCCAGTCCAACATTCCAAAACTCAATACAACAGAATAGAGGCACCAGGCCAACCTGACCTGACTCAATACACCAGAATAGGGGCCCCAGGCCAACCTGACCTGACTCAAATCACCAGAGAAGAGGCACCAGGCCAACCTGACCTGACTCAATACACCAGAATAGAGGCATGAGACCAACCTGACCTAACTTAATACACCAGAATAGAGGCACCAGGCCAACCTGACCTGACTCTATACACAAGAATAGGGGCTCCAGGCCAACCTGACCTGACTCAAAACACCAGAGTAGAGGCTCCAGGCCAACCTGACCTGACTCAATACACCAGAATAGAGGCAAAAGGCCAACCTGACCTGACTCAATACACCAGAATAGAGGCATGAGGCCAACCTGACCTAACTTAATACACCAGATTCTAGGCACCAGGCCAACCTGACCTGACTCAATACACCAGAATAGAGGCAGTAGGCTAACCTGACCTGACTAAACATACCAGAATAGAGGCACCAGGCCAACATGACCTGACTCAATACACCAGAATTAGAGGCAAAAGGCTAACCTGACCTGACTCAATACACCAGAGTAGAGGCAAAGGCCAACCTGAACTGACTCAATACATCAGAGTAGAGGCAAAGGCCAACCTGAACTGACTCAATACACCAGAATAGAGGCACCAGGCCAACATGACCTGACTCAATACACCAGAATAGAGGCACCAGGTCAACATGACCTGACTCAATACACCAGAATAGAGGCACCAGGTCAACATGACCTGACTCAATATACCAGAGGAGAGGCAGTAGGCTAACCTGAACTGACTCAATACACCAGAATAGAGGCACAATGTCAACCTGACCTGACTTAATACACCAGAATAGAGGCTCCAGGCCAACCTGAACTGTTTCAATACACCAGAGTAGAGGCATGAGGCCAACCTGACCTGACTCAATACACCAGAGTAGAGGCTCCAGGCCAACCTTCCAAAACTCAATACATCAGAATAGAGGCACCAGGCCAACCTGAACTGACTCAATACACCAGAATAGAGGCGCAAGGCCAACCTGACCTGACTCAATACACTGAAATAGAGGCAACCTTACCTGACTCATGACATTTTTATATCAAGTGGTAGGGGTTTCTTTGGTGTGTTCTTCCGAAAAAATATGAAAATGTATACAATCAAATATATTATGGAATTAGTGACACTATTATAGAAGACCAATTTGTTAAACAAATACTAAATATAGTCAATAAATCTAACATAATAACAGAAATCTTGTAAAAACAGATGTCTTTTTTATAAATGTAAATGTGGTTATTAATAATTTTAATTATTCTTAAAAATTTGAAAAACCTTAAGCATACAGATTGACTCACAGCAAGTTTAAAATGAGTATTTGTGTAAGTTTTTGAAAAATAGGCATTTCTACTTACTCATAAGACAGTGGAAATTAGAGACATACCCTAAAATTGTTTAATCAAAATACTGCATTATTAATTTGCACAACAAATATACCTACACCATAAAGATGTTTCATTCAGATTTGGCCAAATTTGAGTATTTTGTACATTATTTAAGTCCAAATTCTGACAATGCATATTGTGTAAACTAAAACACTCTATGACAGCTAAATCAAGCTACTTTTATGAATCTATGAAAACATTAACTTAATTTTTTACACATGTTCATTGTTAGGAAGTGTATTTATTAAATAGAAAGTAGTTCACATACTATTTATAACTGTTCAAAAGTGACAAGAATACAAAAGATGTTATCATGATGATATAAGATACAGTAGATGTACTACAGTAAATCAGTACAGAAAATTAATTTTAAAAAATCATAATATTATCCTGTTTTACACTTAGCTATATCAGGTTTATAATGTTTCATTTACAGTTTGAATTATGATACTATCATAAATAAATGTATATATTAAATACTAAAGATATCTTTGAAATCAGTTATTCATTTTCAAAATTGGTTTCATAAAACAGAATTAAATAAAGGCACTAGAGGTTTGAAGACTGATTTTAAACATTAATATGAGCGCATCATGTTCATTTTTTCCTGGTTCTTTAAGTGCCATCATGCAATCTCCAAGAAATTCATATAAGTTTTACATATTGGAAAGTAATTTGCCTGAAAATCTCTCTCACCATTACTCTAGTGCATTGTCTGCACTTTGGCAGATCCAATACATTTTTGTCAGATATCATTCTTTTATCTTAAAAACTTATACATGTACCAGTGCAAAATACAGTCTAGAGAAACAAAACCAAAGTAAAACACAGCAAAAAATGCTAAGAACACAAAATATTTCAACAAATAAAAGTGTATAAGTGACTGAATTAAATTCTAATATTTATTGTTTTACAATAATACTATATGACTAAATATATTTACACAGAACTGTTTTACATGACCTCTGCTGTAGAGAGAACTTTATAAACTATTAACCTGATTTGAATATTCTTATCTTAGAAAAGTGACAGTGACCATGACCTTTCCCCTATGACCATAACATTTACAGTAATATTTTGGTATTTATGGTGATATTTAACTCATTGACCATTTCTTTACCATGTTACGGCTAATGTATATGCATCATAATGAAAGTATAAAATAGACATAATTATAATAGTTCTGAGTATTCTATTTGTGACAAAAACCATTCCTTGATTTTTCTATTTTCACCGCTTTGTTCTGTACAACAAAAAGTAATTTTAACTTATTTAGATAATAACTGCCTTGTCTTGAGGGTTTAGTATTAATTTGTTCTATGACATTTAAGTCCTATACAAGCAGGCAGTTACTTGATATGCGTTCTCGGATTATGTTCCAATAAAAAAAGTGTTTCCTTCGAGAAAGCATTAGAATATTAGAACATTTACAGACCAATTGCTAGAACACATGCAGCAACTAAGTGTCACTATAACCTTATGACATAATGGATCAACACAAATGATACCTGATTTGTTTTTGAAAAATGGGTGTTACTTTGCACCAACACAGTATAGGTCATAATTACGGTGATTTTCCAGCCTTATTTGTGGGGAAATGCCTCAGGTGCCCTCCCATGTATTATTTCAGCTTCCTTACATGAAAAAAACCAAAGTCCCTGTCAGGATTTGAACCCACAGCGGTGGTTTCAAGGCATCAACTTTAACCACTCGGCCATAGACCCAGATATATCCTTTAGTAACTCTTACAACTGTTTTGTGACTAAGTCTAATTATGCTTCATAATACTTAGAGGTTCAACAAAGAATGACATAGAATATAAACGAACTGTTTCCGTACTAAAATTATAATACTTAAGGATGTGAGGAATAGAATGAAAACGTAATGGTTATAAATCTCCATATTTCCTGAACTTTTACTTGCAGGAGACACAAATATCTCATGCCTATTTTTTTAACGTCTGCAATAAACTTGGCTATTGATCCTGCAGCTCAAAAAAAGTTTCATCTTGAATGTACAGGAAGTTGTTTATATAAGCAAACAAACTCAAAATAAAATTTACAGTAGTTCTACAGTTCATATCTACTAAACAAATCACCAGAGCTACAAAACAATTGATTGGCATAGCGGAAAATCACTAGAAAGTCAAAGTTTATAATAATATAACAAAGTCTGAGTGAAATATAGCAGTTATTATAACAAATGTGCAAATACATAATGACATAATCTAATGTGTGAGACTGGTAAATAACTGAAATTGACAAGCAAACTTCCCAAAAATTATATAAAAACTGGCAAAATGATCACCTCTCCAGCAAATCACCAACTCAGTTCAACACTCTTCAACTGAAAACACTGAAGACAAAAATAAAGACATTGATACAACAGTCAAGTGCACTGTGCCAACGTTACCTGTGATTGAAGATAGGGAGTTCCCAACAGAGTTAGAGGTATGCATAGACCCAGGTTCTCCGCCATAACCTGGACGCAAAAAGACATACAATATACATAATAAAAAAATTTTACAGATAGCTAAAATACATGAATTGTATTAAACATATTTTAAAAATACACGAAGAGTGTAATACATTGCGCAATGTAGTTTCATAATAAGCCTCAAAGTGTGGCCAATCTGATTAATTTACAATTTATTATGTAAAGTAGTCAAACCATTTTCAATGTCATGATATAACACCATGATATCTATAATCACATAAATTTAAAGTTATATTTATACAAAATTTAAGTTAAAGTATCTCAAAAATTGAAAAATAATAAAAATTGTTGAAAATCTCCAATAATGAACAGTGTTTCACTTAATGAACTACATGTATTAAACAATCTTCATAAAACATTTTGTATGGTAGTTTTATATAAGTTGTATCTATTAGTTAATAAAAGTGTCAATTGCTCAATACACTTTGAATGGCATTTCTAGTACATAATTATATCATAACTATTGTTCCTACAATTACCTTAATGTTGTTAATAAATTAACTCCACACTTAAGAATAAGATACATTTTAATTCATTTCAATCATTTCTACTATAACATAAGGTTTCAAGCAAATCAGTTGGTAAAACAAAAAACAAAAACTTGCATATCTTATATTAAAGCTCACTGTCTTGCATGAGTATTAAACAGTTAAATATGTCATTGCTAAATTTATGTAATGGATTTGTCCAGCATTCAATTTTGGAAGAATCTATTCAAAAATTAAGGGATTTCAATATCAAATTACAAAAATATAGAGCTACAGTATAGAGCCTAGTAAAGACTGCCCAGATGTACATGCTGGCCTGAGGGTCAAATCCCTTTCTGATCCAGCAACACTGAACACTGTGCATTATATAAACAACAATGAGAGAACTTCAGTCCTAATTTGCCTTTATTGAAAAACAAGCAATTAAAAGGAGCTTTGTCGATAAATTTCCAACTTTCGAATTTTTTCTAATCAAATTTCATGTGACCTCCAACACACAATATGTTGTCTCTCAACAAGAAAAGAACAATGTCTGCTAAATTCAGTTTATTCATTTGGTAAATTGACAAAAAACAATGACAGTTCTTGTTAAAAAGCGTCTTTCATTACAAAAGTGCTGCCACCTAGTTTGATTTACCAACAATAATTGTTTTTCTGCACTTAGCATTTCCAATAGTGAATTTTCTCATGTTAAGGAAGTAGAAATTTAACCTTTAATCAGTTATTCATTGTTCTCTCCTCGATTTCAAAGCTTGTCATTTTGAATAGAACACAGAATTATACAAGCGTTTTTAAAATCTGAAAATTTGAATGCCACCTGGAGATAAATTTTTCAAAGTGAATGATGCTACATTTAACCTTAACCCTGCTGAAACCAAAAGCTTTAAGCCTTTTCTACCACGCCCATCGGTATAGACCCAGGCCAGCCTGCACATTGATGCAGTTTGACCAGGCCGTCTACACAATTAGTGGACTAAATTTAAATCTTCATCTTGATATCCCCATAACAGGAATTGCTTAATGGACACTGGAAAGGTCAATTAAAGGAATAAATCAGGTTACAACCAAGAATATATATAAAACAACAGACATTTGTCAGTCAGGTGCTAAAAATCAAAAGATTGGATCTCATATAGAGGCATTTTATCTAATAAGATTTTTTTTCATCCCTTGATGTCACTTTACTTGACTGGTACAATGTGTACTTTTGGAAAATACTGATCATTTAACATTTAGAAGCCATTATACATTTTTAATACAGTTCAACTCAAGTGCTATTTCAAATGGAATTTGACTGCATTAATAAAAAATTCTTGCACTTTCATGCCTTTTATAAATCAATATATTGCCAGTATCAATTTGGCTGAAAATATCTCATTATCTCCCTTGAAAGTTGCAAACTATCAATTGATTTATCTTTTCACAGGGGGGAATGTAAGAACAAGCAAAAGGTTAAATCATGAGCTTGAAGAAATGCTGTTTTGTATCTACAAAAATTACTATAATTATTTAAATCATAATTTTTGCAATATCTAAATAATCAAGTTAACTATTACATGTTTTTGTTTTGTTTTTTTCTTTATTTAAAATCACATAGATCTATAAACTAGGTAAAAAGGCATCTTCCTAGCTTCTTAATGAAAGCAGACCTTATTTCTGAAATAAGAGAGTACTTTAAGGCTAGCCGGAAGACATCTCCATGTTAAGGACAATAGTTACCTTCCAGCAAATAAAACTAATAGATTTAGATTAAAGAAATAATATCTGTCCAAGCAGTGTTTATCGACTATAACTTAACACAGATTTTGATGCTTAAGAACTGACCATGAAGCTGGCACCTGAGTAGAACCATCAAAGTTGAGAATTTTAATAGACAAATAACATATGAAAAAGAAAGAATCTAAAGTCCCTGCCAGAAAAAAATAATAATTTGAGCCTAAAGCTATGATGATCAATTGACAAATGGTTTGAAGTCAGCAGCCTTGACTACTCAGTCATGGAGACGGTAGCCACTTACAGTAGGATACCAAACAACATGTAGATTACTGTAGTACTGTTATCACTTAATAAAAAGGTATATCAAAACATGTTGCTCTCTTTATGTATTAATAAGAGTAACAATTCTTATAACAAAGTTGACATGTTGAAACACTTAAATAACTGAAAGATTGAGCTTACCTGCGTTGCCATCAAGTTTCGCTTTTTTTACTGAAATAAAAGAAAGAAAAAACAAAGATTAATTATCTGGTTCATTATGTCTTTCAGTGAAATACAACTATACATTGTAAATATTTGTTTGAATCTAGTGGCAGTCAGGGGTGGTATACGATGGAAACTTCAATACAACAATTTCATGTTATTCCATGATACATTGTAAGCGGTGTATGACCAAAGAGAACATGTAAGACAATCATGTTCTTTCTTGGTAAGAATCATTTAATCTTCTTTCATTTCCTAACTGAAAACTTACAAATGTACAATTTTAGATAATCCTATTTTGAAATCATATACCACATTTATCTCTAGATGACAAAATACATGTAAATACAAAAATGTATGAGGCAATTTCAATAATTCCAGGAAGTGCACAATTGTGCTTTTATGGCACCTATTGATTGTCTATTTGACAAAGCATAGCCATATTTTATTTATTTTGCAGTGTTCTGCTTCAAACCAACATTATTGAAAACCATTTCAATATTGTTCAAACTAAAACAGAGAATTGTTTGATTTGTTTTAATGCAACATGCATTTATTAAATAACAATAAAATGTCAGTTGTTATTGTAAATATGCTGTATCTTAGTAATTACAGTACATAAAGTTTACCATCAGAATTTATGATTTTTGTACAAAATTGTCTCATTAAAATTGCATGTTTTAAAAGATTCTCTATAATTTTTTAGTTTTAAGTTAAGTAGTAAAGTAAAGAAATGTATAAAGTAAAGTAAATAGTAAAGTCAATAAATGTGAAGTAAATTCAAGAAGTATGAGTAGTGAATTTAGATAAAGAGTAATTTAAATAAAGAATAATAAAGTAATGTAAAGAGTAGTAAAGTAAAAGTAAAGAAAAGTAAAAAGAAGTAACTAAAGTATGGTAACTAAAGCAAACAAGTAATTACTTTATTTAAAGACTAAGGCTACACATTTCGTTTACTGAATCTTCCAGGCAGGCCTCACCATAAACATACGATGCTATGTACACAATCACAAAAACATTAAATCAATCACACTGACCTTGCAGTGCATTAACAGATGAAAGATCAAAACTTGGCTCATTTCTAATTCATTCCAACAAGGATGGCTGCGACTAGCAATATTTTTAACGGTCTTGCAAATTTTTTTGCAAGTAGCAAAATGTTTAACTGGCAATATGAAGTAGTCAAATCGCAAATCTTTTATTATTATAATACACAATGACTATGATTGCCGATGTATTAAATCAAATTTTGAACATACATATATCATAGTATGACAACTGGTATTAAACTGCATGTCTAATGAATGTCAGAAACATCATACTAGCAAACACAGTTCTCTTTCTTAATGAAACATATAAAAACAATCTCTTAACAGTTCAGACAGGTATTCATCTGTCATGAAAAGACACTGGGTTTCTGTGAGAGATAAAAAGGGCCTAAACCTCCATGACTGCAAAAGGCTCAGTTTCTGGGACCATAAGGGTCTTTTATGCCTCTCTCCAGACAACCACCTCGCTGCATGTTTAAGGTCATATGCCTTCAGAGAAATGTCTGCAACCTAAATTCACATTGATCAGCATGTCAATAATTTCCGCCCCAAACCTGCACCTCCAATCTAACTTAATCCTTTCATAGTGGAAAAGGCCCTTTCACATGATGCATTGACTGTCACTAGAGGTAAAACATTTGACAAGTGAATGACTTGTAATCACCTTTATTCCGATCCATTTGACAAACCAACAGTTGAACTGCCATACAAGGAGTTGGTGCAATGTACAAATGTACATGTATGAACTGTAGATACATAGTAATAAGTATAGCGCTCAGACTAATTAGATGATAGTTTAGGTTTTTTATTTTTGCTAAAAGAATCACTTTTATCTTTACAGACAAGTGCATGGTCACCTAATGTACATTTGACCTTGATAAAACCACTTGGATGCGCTAACCAATAGTATGATTTTCCTGTTAATGATGTACATGTAAATAGGCTGTCTTAATATAGCACAGAAAAACCAAATAGAGCAACCTAAAATATATTTTTATAGTAAACATCATCAGTTACAGTAACAGTCCACAGTAGCTGGCACTGAAAACAACATCAGCTTCTGCAGCAGGAAGTTGTCAATCAAGCACAGAAGATAACAATTATGTTATTTGTTAACCTCAAAATGAACAATCATCTGCAAATAAATGCCAGTCTGGCTGTATTACACTGATATTTTGCGGACATTACTTGACTTAATTATCTAGATCTATGGTAGTTGCTAGCCTTTTATTGTCATGTTCCCTAATTTGTCCCTGTCCTAGAGTCAACACCCTGTGTATGTTAGAAAATATGATAAACAAGATCAAAAAGGAAAGGCGGCATTCAATGAACGCAACCCCCATACGACCCAGCAACAAGAACCAGTGGCAAGGATCCCATGCATACACCAAACAAAAACAGGGCAGGGCACAAGACAGAGCACGGACAGAACAATCACTAAAATGATAAATAATTAAATAATGATAAAGAAAGTCTCAACAAATGTTTTTTTAAGAAATAAAACAGCTGGATGCTTTTTTAACATAAAAGCAAATTTAATCCATGTGCCAATTTTCTTCCACTGAACCCTCTGATCATTGAAAAATATACATTATACTGGCATGCGAGCAGTTCCCGTACAGAAGCAGTACCCGTATTTTTCATTTAAACGCTTGATTTTTACTTGCATTCTTTAAAAATTCATTTCAAATCAAGCAGATACATAAACGAGACAAAATCTAAGTGTCAGTTTTTCGGCAATACGCATTAAAAGTCTCATTTAAAATCACTTTCACCTGTGCGTCGTCAAAAAACGTGACCTTGTTTCTCTGGGGGATTCCGTCCTTTTGCGCGCATGCGCAAAAATATTTACACGTGAGGCTTGTTAAAGGGTTTTCCACTAATACCAACTGTTTACAGATAAGTAGGCAATGTGATTAAAACTTTGTTTAATTATCAGAATTTTGACCAATTTACTATTTAAAATAATTTTATGGCTTTGATGCGTAAAATATCATGTAAACAAGCATGCTATTGCATGTGAATGCGTTGGGGTAACGGTACGGGTAATAGATACCCGCGTTTAGTCTACGGTCTATTTCCTGAATTACATCTATTTATTTCTTAGAGAAGGGTCTGTTCAACAATTGTTAATGAAAAATAGGTCCGATATAATAAAATTGTATAATTACAATGGGTGAGATTTTATGTACGGGAACTACTCCTCTTCATACAAAATAATCAATAATTTCGGTACCCATATGAGGCCTCATAAGTAAGGGTTATTCTATGTTTAGAACATGATGGAATTTCCATGATTTGTGTGACGAGCCGAATATTGATGTGTAAAATTCAAATTTTGGTGAGTGAGCGTAATAAAAAATAATGTTTAAGTAACTACGATTTTTGTACGGGAACTGCTCGCATGCCAGTATAGTGTATCAAATAATTAAGAACTGCAAAATGCTTCTAAAGGGTAATGAATCATATGGCCACCTGTTGATATATTATATCACAGTCAGTCGGGCTTAGTATACCTCAAAATAACAGTAACCAGGGTCATTTTGACTAAGTTTGACCGGCTACAAGGCCAAATCCCCATGACTTTAACAAAATTTGACCCTCCAGTTAAAATCCTAATCTCAAATCAGGCCTTTTGAAAATTTGAAGGGTCGGTCATTTCAACGGTCACCCTGGTAACATCTTGACTCATGAGTACTCAAACATGTATTTTTAATCACTACAGATCATCACAAGGTTAGACTATCACATGTTATCTATTAACTGTAAATACAGTCTCTACAGGATCAGACAATCTGATGGATGCTTTGATTTTATAATAGCTTGGTCACTCAATTCACTGCTTTAGAGTTTATAAGTTATGATAATGATTAATGTGTAAACTCATTCCGTATCAAAGAAATTAACGATATCATTCAGCAAAGAAACCAGCTGAAAATATTTTAAATAAACTGATTTTCACCTGTAGCATAGTGAAATCTGATGATGCCTAAAATAGGCAATAAATTTTGACAGTTGGTGGGAAAATTGATTATTTTGACCTAAATTTAGATTTATCTCGTCTCAGTAAGCTACTTACCGCAAATACATAAAAGAGACATGATTCCGCAAATCTAATAATGCCTTCTTAACTTCCAAAATAAAGTATTTATCCATAATCCATCATTTTGGAAATATTTCAAGATTTAATTTGTAAGTCCGTGATTGTTGACACAGTAGGCCGCCATCTTGAATCGTGACATCATAGCGGATAATTGAATATTCATTAGCTAGAGAAAACGGTCGATGGACTTAGATTGAAGTTCGATAAATAGCTAGTTCGCCCTACTGTGTTACAGCTGGATTCGTTATATTGGAACTAGTATACAATGTACTTCAGGAAAAATCTTACGTGTGTTTTTATATAAACAGTATATATATTCAAAAATAAGAAGAAATATGAGCATAAATTATGACAAAGATACAGGATTGTCCAGGCATTAGGAAGGGGAAATTATATAAATGTAAACAGTAGACTACTCCCAGACATATATATATGTTATAATAAAGACCTTAAGCTAATCGCATGTAATGTATTTTGTTATGTTCACGAATGTCCACATGCCTTTATGTTCACGAATGTCCACATGCCTATCCAAAGATCTATATAAAAATACACCGCCTGTACAGTATCTATTAACCATTGTTTAAATTCATAAAACATGTTGAGAATACTACATGTGGCGTGTGTCACGTTTTATGTGCCAGAATCCATCATATATAATGGCTACAGTCATAACAGTATTGCCTCTGGACGTGCGTTTTCAAAAGCCGATAATCTAAATAACACGTACAGCTAAATTCAATTAAATATTGTGCGTGCGCACGTGTATTTTAATCTTGCATGTGGAAACATCTTCCTTAGTAATTAGACATACAATTATAATAGAGTGTTGCACTTAAAATGTAAAATAATGATAATAGATTTTGTAACCGCACCCTCTTTCACGGTGTAAACGAACGCCCATGTAATGACAGATTTATAAATTGTATTGCCATCTTGATCCAGGATCGAGTAGCCTAGTGCTAGATCTATCTCATTATTTCTTGTTTAAGACACACTAAAATTCATTAAATAAAAGATTCATTAACTGTATCGTAGCCATTGGTATTATGAAGTTTTAGATCTTTTTTCCATATCTGTTTTTCGTGACCTGCGAAAAGGTGTACATTTTATAAACTTAGTCAATCTTCTTTGCACTTCAGAACGACCCGTTCCCTTTTTACTACTTTGTAATAAATAAATAAATAAATAAATAAATAAATAAATAAATAAATAAATAAATAAATAAATAAATAAATAAATAAATAATAAATAAATAAATATTTGAAAATGATAGATATCTACAATCTTGAATTTCAGCAGAGTCATTCAAATATAATTCTATTTGATTCTGGTTTTATATTTTTATACATTTATTATTATTATAACGACTCATGATCAGTGTTCCTAACTCATTATCACAGTGCCCTCACTGTGACTATCTAATGTTTCAACACGTGCATTCAATTAAACTTGATGACCTTGGTCAAATCACGGTTGTTCAAAAAAGTAACATTCGGAATTAATGAAATTATTTCCCTCCTTTAATTAATACTTTCTTAAATATTTTCTGCCAATTAACTGTTACCCTGCTTAATTTGTGAAGAAGAAAAGCCACATGGTTTTTGCTTAACGATGCCTTTAGCATTATCAAAGTTAGGTAAGTTTTCATAATTAGCAGTGACATGGCTCAAATGTAACAAATATATATTATATAATTATCCGAGTGTTATGGACAAGGCACTTTATAGAGCTATTCACATAATGATCACTGTCTCTAAGTCGAAATGAACACAGTTCTGATGTCATTCTATTGTACTACATACACAACTTACAAAACATTACTGTAAGTAAGTTTTGCCTATATACAATATAGTATACAAAATTTAGGGAGAACGCATGCCTTGAAATATTACATTCGGAATATATTTTATCTTTCAGTTAATGATAAAAGATAAAGTTTCATTTAAAAGACATGAAAGAGGCGTGCTGCAGTCTAATATTCAGAATTCTCAAATAAAATGTCAGTTTTCATTTCTGCAGAAACAAAATGAGAGGCAATCTTTAATCACCGGAGAGATCAGACAGAGAAATTCGGGGAAATAATTGAAAAATTGATTTTCCTCAAATAAGAGCGGGGGAGTCACTACAATAGATTTCTCTTAAAGTAGATAGAGTAAGGCGGTATAATAATTATTCCTGGCAGATATTTGATATGATATTGGAAAGAAAAAAATGTGTTATTAGCTGCAATAAAGAGACCACCACAATGCATTTAAAGTACCTGAATTTAAAATAAGGAAGATACGGCCGGATTGTAACGGAACCTTAACACGCAGTGTTGTTTACAGTTCAGTCTCATAATGCTAAATGTCGATGTGAAAATAAAGATTTGATCTGATATGTGAACCATGAAATAAGAGGCAGTGACGTACTAATTGTAATCAACGAAAAGTTTTGTAACATTTTAGATGTAAAAGGCAGACATTCAAACATCATGTTTATTATCAAAGATAGTATTGGCGACAATGACAAAAATGTAGAAAGTAACGTTATAATACATGTATACAGTACACAAACTTGCGTTAAACTATTTGAGTATTTGATCTGAAAATCTGAACAGATGTTATTATTTTTATCATTAAAATGATGTCCATCGGTCTTTTATGTACAGTAAAGCAAATGATTCATAAGAAATGAATCCGTTCAATTCATGCCCTCAACCATATCTATGAAGCCACATTATGAAGTTCAATGTCCTTAAGGATGTAGCCAATCAAAATTTGAATCCAAAATTAGTGACGAAAGTTACCTAAAGGACAGACAGAAATTAAGTTGTAACATTTCTCATTGCCAATTCCCGTTAAAGACCGTGACGTGACGTGTTCAACGGTAAAAATACTGATTTACATTAAACTTTTTATAGTTAATTATTTCCAAACAGACCTAAGGCAATAAGCTGCACTCTGATGTGCTGACTTGAGAAGAAGTATTGACTTATAGATCAATACTAATAGATTTATTAAAGAGATATTTCATTCACGTTTTCTGTACATACGTATCTGCCAATCAATGTACTACAACAAATAAAATGACTCATGATTGTGTTAAAACGTGCACAATTCATTTGAGACTAGCTGTAATCTATTATGAGAAAAAAACTACTCACCTTTAATGTATAGAAATAATATAAAACATTCAATGTCTAGTAAGATACATTCTATAATAACTTAACTACGTCGTATGTGTCAAGTCTTGCTTTATTTTGACATATTTAGAAAGGCATGGTATGGTTTCTCAGATTGAAAATTATATCTTGTGGAAAGGAGTGCTACAATGCTAAACAAGTACATGTGATAAGGCAGTTAATTAATTATTATAAAACAATAAATACAAGTATGTTGAAAAATAAAAGAAGCATTAAGGTACGTCACAAACTTGAGGTAAATATTATTTCAACCTGGAAATGTAAGCATTACATGACGTTTTGTGCAACATTTGGCATAAACAAATGAGCAAATATTTGAGAATGACCTTTTTCACACCTGTTATAAGGTAATCACTTTACAGCAGCTAATTCTTGGTGGCAGTTGTCTACATTCTTTTGTGTCACACAATATAAGGATGGAATGACCGGTTAATATCTCAAGTACAATTAAGTTACGAAACGACAGAGTTGATTCACTTGGCGCTGAAAGCGCTGAGGGTTACCATGTTTGTCTTTGACAATAACTGGCTTAATGTGTCTGTTTTACGGCATTTGCCGGAAACTTGAAACGATTATTCAGCGTGTTAAGCGCAACACGTTTCCTGTATGGAAATAAATAGATTCTGAAACATCACACAATTCATACTTAGACTTGGTAATGAGACTTATATTACGTTAAGTCACATACGATATGAAACACACATTTGACATTTCGAATAGTATTAATTCGTATTAATTTATGTTTGGTGAGCTGAAGGTATAATGTTTATGTCTGCTGTGAAATCATTGTATAATATTGTAATTTTTTTGCACATGTAAAGATTCAACATTAATTGCATTCAGTGCAATAGTCAGATGAATTTAAGAGGTTATAATACCCTCAAAGCTTGAGCCATTTTAAGAATTTGTCAACGGTTACTTCATAAAACTAGGACTTAAAATGTGTAAACGTAGATATCGTGTAACCTATAAATAATTCCACACCAAATCAAATACAATGTACATGTACTGGGCTAAAACTATTATTATCCCTAAGATTTGAAAAGAAAATCAAGAGAAATGTTAGATACTATAATCTATTTATATCAAGTAGATGATGTCACGTTTTATTTTTTACATGTGGTTAATTGTTGCTTCTTACGCATTTAATTTGTTCAGGTGTAAATATTTGAGCCGCGTCACGACAAAACCAACATAATGGGTTTGCGACCAGCATGGATCCAGACCAGCCTGCGCATCCGCGCAGTCTGATCAGGATCCATGCTGTTCGCTATCAATTTCTCTACGTGTTAAAGGGTTTGTAAGCGAACAGCATGGATCCTGATCAGACTGCGCGGATGCGCAGGCTGGTCTGGATCCATGCTGGTCGCAAACCCATTACGTTGGTTTTGTCATGACGCGGCTCATTTTATGTTAGGTGAATATGTTATCCAATAAGCAAAGAAGAGGGATTGAAAAAATAATCATAATAATCAAAATTTCCCCAGAATTATGTTCTGTTCTCATAAGATCAAATACCATTACATGTTTTTCATATATTTTAAATAATGCATATGTTTCGAACTTGTAAATACAAAATGACCATAAAACGGATCACTTGCATAAAATATCAAAGCCTAGGCAACAATAACCTAATTCATTAATGAGACCATCCGACAATAAAGATAATTTTGACCAAGACCTATTCGGTGGTCTTATACACTTAGTAAAGTGATTGATTTATACGTTAAATAACATGAAGTTATTATACATTGTTGAGTACAATTCTGAATTCCATTGGTCGAGTAAAGAACTGAAAAAAAAAACTATATTGGACTAGGCGCTAGTCGAGTCTGATATAGGTTTTGCAGCTGCGTACGAGTCCAATTTGATCAGTATTGTTATCAACGATCTCTTTATTCGATACGAACATTTTTGACATTTTGAAAGAACTTTTTTACTTTAATTACAATAAGGATTTGATATCGATTT